GCCCTGCTAAAATCCAACTATACTCTTTTATTATAAACCCTAACCCTAAATTCTAATCTAACTATAAAAAAAAATTAGTTAAAACAACGGTAAAATAATATACCGAGCATTCGAGGAACAGTTAAGATCAATTTTAATACCGGTCACAATAAATCAGCATCAGTCATCGATAATTGGTGATTTAAATAATTTAATGTAATCTAATGTAATCTAATGCAATCTAATGTGATTTAGAGAGATTTAATGATCAGTAAAAGTAATCATGCAGAATGATTGAGAACGTTTATTGTGTTTAAAGATAAAATTACGTCTTTTAACCAATCAATTATGAGACGGAAAGACACCTTTTTTCGGTCGATATTAGTATTACTGCCGAATCAAATTTGAACATATGTACTGTACATACATACATACATACGTAAGAAGCTATAACGAACAGATCATTATTTAGCATATAGATAAGGATGCGCCAATCGTTTCGTTCGATTACTTTCAATATGACTTTCAATACGTCAAAACCAATAATCAAGCACAAAATATTACAAATATTTAAAAATATTTATTCTAAACCGTTTCGGGGGATCGCTTTATTGTTTTCAAATCAAGTCTCTAAACGCATTTAAGTGATATTCTCAGTTTATCATATAATTTATTTGTGCTACGTACTAAATAAATGTACTGATTTATGGGTTCACAAATACGTATTAAGATTGATATTGATACGTACTAAATATATATATATAAATAAATTAGGTAAATCTGTATTTTATTTTATAAACAATGATAGGCACTAACAGAACGATGTATTTCATTTCTGCAATAATTTAATACCAATATCAATATCAATACGTGTCGTGGCTGAAGCTGGAAATGGCTGAAGCTGGAAATTTTAAATATTTTAATATGAAATTTACAAAAAATTTTGGAATGCATTTTTTTTTATAGTTAGATTAGAATTTAGGGTTAGGGTTTATAATAAAAGAGTATAGTTGGATTTTAGCAGGGCTTATAGTTTTAAATCGAGACCTCTAATTTCCAGCTTCAGCCATTTCCAGCTTCAGCCGCGACAATACGTATTAATACCAATATCAATATCAATACGTATTAATATCAATATCAATATCAATATCAATATCAATATCAATACGTATTAATATCAATATCAATATCGTATTAATATCAATATCAATATCGTATTAATATCAATATCAATATCAATATTAACATCAATATTAACATCAACATTAATATCAATATTAATACGTATCAATATCACTTACATATGATTAATACCTCTCAAAATGTAACACTACGTTTATCTTTATTAAACTCTATTCACGAATATTCACCATCGTACAACTTAAAGTACCATTATGCGAAATGCTGGCTGCTAATAATTTGTCGTGTCGCAAAGCAGATTTTTACGATAAGCAGAATGAGTTTAGAATAAGTGGAATAAGTGAATAAGCAGAATGAGTTTAGAATAAGTGGAATAAGTGAATAAGCAGAATGAGTTTAGAATAAGTGGAATAAGTGAATAAGTTTAGAATAAGTGAATAAGTGAATAAGTAGTAATATAATTATCGGTTGTACATTTGTCAATTTTTAGTTAATATATTTATATTTAGCGTATAAAAATATATTAAAGTTAATACTATTATGTATACGTATGCAAAATTAAAATTTAAACACTTTTACATATTTAGTCATTGATTAATAAAATTTTTGTTATTTTTCATTGGCTTTTGTTGACTACCTCAATCGTAATTTAGTGATTGTAGTCGATTCTGATTTATCGACTTGATTAAGTCAAATATTTAAAAATCTGTTTAGCCGAAGTCGAACGTTCTATTTGGGTTAGCCCAGGTACGTACGTACGTGATTTTAATTGAATATGGTTGATTAGTTGTTAGGTATGACAATAGCGAATAGGGATAACGAATTTAATTTAAAAAATTTAAAAAAAATTTGCTGACTCAACTAAGCAAAGTCGATCACCGTCGAATCACTATAAGGTCAGGTTGTCCTAAATTGTCCGATACTCAATCAAGAATCGAACCGAGTCAAATTCACTGATGAGTCGATTTTATCGGCTAATCCGAATCGACTACAATCACTATGTATAACTATAGTTACACGTGATAGTGATGTCGATCCTATTGTAAAAAGCCTAAATTTAGAATAGTGATTATAAAGTATCAATATTAATCAATATTTAATCAATATCGATATTAATCAGTATTAATCATGTACAGTACGTATTAATCATGTGATGATATAGGATGTCCCGGAATTGATAGTTCCCGGGAATTGATATATCAGAAACTTATTTGGTTAACTGTCTGCGATCGGGATGTTCACCTTCTAGAAACCATAAATAAAGTTCAACGATGCTTACGTAAATGCGTTATGAATTCATTAATTATATCAATATATTATATATACCAATATCAATAAATAAATAAATAAATATATATATATACAGTATATATAATGCATATATTTGATATATATGTATATAATAAATCTATATAAGATTTAATAAATGACTTTTACGTATCGCTTATTAAATGTGTAAATCGAAAATAGTAATCTTTTGACAAGTAGGAAATTAGCAAGAATAAAATTTAATCAAGCAAGAATTAATCAAGTAGGAAATTAGTAAGAATAAAATTTAGGAAAGCAGGAATTAATAATAAATAAAATTTAGGAAAGCAGGAATTAATAAGTGTTAAAATTTAGGAAAGCAGGGAATTAACGTGCGTAAATTTGGACAAGCAGGAAATTAAGATAATACGTAGAAGCCAAGACAGGAAACTATATAAGGTCATTCAATGATAAAAATAAAATTTGTCATCTAAAACTGAATACTCGGTTCCATTCAAATACAGTGTAGAAAAGTGTAAAAATTATGTACAGTATATGTTTCTTTGTTTAAAAATATATAGGATTTCCCTGCATGCATCCAAGTTATGCATTATTATTATCTTCCTCTGTTATGTGCATACGTACGTACGCACCAGTTACTATTTCGTAATGCCATTATTATTAATCCTGATCCTAAAGTTTAACAATTCCAATCAATTTTTAACAAAGAAAATATCTATTTCCGGATCGACACTTCGAATATCGATATTCGATATTACAATTTACACCACAATTTACATATTAACTCTCAAAATGATGTCAGCGCTATCGAAAATTTTATACATAAGAATTTATAAGAATTTATAAGACGATTATTTCCGAATAAGTTCACTAAACTCTGAAAAAAAATACTTTAAACCTGAAATGAAAACTTGTAATGATTCGTGATGTCATGATATTGTAAGGTACTCTTAAAATTACACTTAATTCAGTAATTATATTTATTACTCTTATTTACTCTAGGTCAGAGGATATTCACGTGATCCAAGAACTATGTATTGAATAATATTTGTAATATTTGTAATATTGGTTGTATTGAATAATATCCAATATGTCCTGTATATATACGCACATAAAAGTTCAAGAATGGTCATTGGCAGCATATCCATTCTTGATTATAAAATAAATTATAAAATAAATCATTTGATTCAGCCATATAAATACGTATCACTTGTTTTTTTATATCACTAAACATATTTAACATACTAAACATATTTAATACTAAACATGTTTAGTCACTAAACATATTTAACACTAAACATGTTTAACAAAGTATATGTACTACTTTAATCTATTTATTTCTCATTATACATTATTATCTATTAATATACTATATAATATACTATATACTGAGGCTTTTATTACGTAATGTATCCCGAAATCCTCTTCCCCTAGGGTTTTTTCTTTATCCTTGAGTTTATTTTTGAATGCCTATTTATACCTCATGTTTACCCTCTTTTCGGCGTTCGTTTCATTTTTTTTGAAGCGTTAAATTCTCAATTCTTGGTCCCCGTTTTTTTTTTTCTTTTTTTTTTTTTTTTTTTTTTTTTTGCAGCTGTGGGTTCTTACTTCCTTCCATTAATTTTTTTTTTAACGTATTATAAACGACGACAGCTCGATAACTTACTTATGCAACTTGCTTAACAAGGTAAGACTCTCGACCTGAGTTACGGTCGTGTGAAACTTGAAAATTATTATAATCACCATTATGTTTATTTAATCTTCGGGATTGCGGCATGTACGTGCATTAGAGAAAAGTATAGAAACATAAAAAAAAAAAGCAGCTTATGTATTATATATAAGCTAAAATTTTCTCTGTTGTTTAAACATACACATGTTTAGTTATGTTTAATTGACGTATAAATCACAATTGTTTCCTTTTCTCTCTATAAATCGTTTAGTGTTTTTGTGATTATTTATTATTATAGTAGTATTATTATTATTACGAACATACAAAAAAAAAATATTGTCGCACGAATAAAAAAAATAGTTACTTATATATTAATCAAATTCTCCTTTTTTTCGTTCCCGTACGACTTTCTTATCGAAATATATAAACATCAGCTTTAACGGTCGAATTTAATTTTCTCAAGAAAATCTATTTCTTTTAAGCGCGTCGATACTTCTTCAAGCTTATTGGATTTTTTTTATTTAATTCTTTTGTACTTTTAATTTTCGGCAGCGTTGGTTGTGGAAAAAAACCCATAGCTTGCTCAAAAAAAAAAAGAAAAAGAAAAAAAAAAAGAAAAATAATATATATTATATAGATAAAAAATAATAATAGTAATTAATAATAATAATCGATATGCCGCAATGCGCCATTAGCTCGGTAAGTTTTTCAAAAATTAATCTTTCAGTAAAATAAAATAAATATTAAATATAACTATCGATATAATATTATATATATGTAATTTTAATTTTTTTTTTTTTTTTTTTAAAAAAAAAAAAAATAGTTAGCATTTGCTTCTGGAGCAATTGCAACGGCTGCCGGTGTTGGATATGTCTTTGGTCGTCCAGCCAAGAAAAAAAGACATTCTTCAAGATTATCAACATTATCAACGCATTCAATGCCTTCATCAAAAAGTCCATTTAAACGATTTAAATTATTTCTTTCAAAACATAAACATCTTTCCCCTACAAAAAACATTTTACATTCAACAACTATACATCCTTTAATGGTTCATGTTGATAATCTTGTAGATGATGATGTTTCTTCTACATATTCTGATGTTACAAGTGTATATACCATTGATCGTAAAATAAGTTCAACTCCAAATATACCTGGTGTTTTAGCTCAGGCTTTTGATAGTTCTTCTGCAGTTGGTTCTTTCAATCCTAGAGGTGTAGAAACTTTACAAGAAGAAGAAGAGGAAGATTGGGACACTCATAGTGATGATTTTATTAACCCTTCAAAAGCAAGGTCTTCCTTACCATCTTTACCAATATCCGAAACTCCTCCTCCAAAGTTTCGACATAATCGTTCAAATTCTTTACCTCCAACTGCTTTTTCACCAACTGCTTTTTCAAAAAGTTTTTATCGACAACGTAAGTATAATTTTTTTTGTAATACATTTGTAATAAAATGTGTAATAAAATGTGTAATAAGTGTGTAATAAATGTGTAATAAATGTTTAAATTAAAATTAACTATTATGTGGTTTAATCACGTGACTTTTTATAGCTACTCCAAGTGAAAGTTGGGATGATGACTTTGACTTGGACGATGAAATAAATGTTCCTAATTCCGTTGAACAAGCTCAATTCTCTTTAAGGATGGATATTACCAATATCCGGGATTTCGTTTCTCAAATTGAAGGTAATTATATATTACTATCAAATTTTTGTTACGTATTACTATATATATTACTGTATAATTAACATATTTTTTTTTAAAATTTACTTTTTTTTACATTCACTTTTTTTAATAACAGAATTAAAAGTGTTACGTAACAAAAAGCTGTTCCTTTCTTCAACAATTCAATCAAAGATTACTAGGAAATGGTCAAACGGATTTACTAAATCAAAAAAAAAGAGTAAAAAATATAAAGATCTAGAATCTCGATTTAAACAAGATTGGGAAGAAGCAGCAGTTATAATTGATCTTTCCGACGTGGCAAAAGATAGGGGGGAACCAACATTTGATGGTGGAAAAAGAGTCGCTGTTGATGTTGATATTGAAAAAATACCTTCTGAGAGACATATGCAAGTATTAAAAAAGATTATGGTAGACGAATTAGGTGAAGAAAATGTTGATGACGTAATTATGGATGATGATAAAGAAAATCGTTATGATAGTGATCACTCAGATTCGACTTCTAGTAGTGGTCATAATCCAAAAAAACAAAAATTAGCTGATGGAAAGAGTATTATTAATCATGGAAAGTCAAAACGAAAAGAAAATTTTAGAATAAGTGTTGAAATAGTGCCAAGTTTGATTGATCATTTAAAAAAATTACAGGACAGATTATCTGAACATGTAGATAAACTAGGTGCCTTGGCATGTTGTTGAGAATCTCAAATCTCTTTTA